TATCGCTAGCGCGGCTGCTTCGTACTGTACGTAATAACATTATATAATTGTTACATAGGCTTGCTAAGGTAGGATAGGAGACTTCACTTACTTAGGTTCTTACAATTATCTCCTTCCCCCGGTATAGCTATCCTAGCTGTAGGGCAATATAGTAAATTATACCATTTCTCACACTCTACGCTGCACTTACGCGTCTTATACGCACTTGTCGCTAGGCTATAGTTGCTAGGTACGTTATAATTTGCCTCGTAGTTGCTTGTTTGTTTATAGATTTAAAGCGCGGCTGCTTCTAGCACTAACTAGAGGTTGCCTAAATTTCTAAGAACGCGGTAGCTACGCGAGAACGCAAGCTGTCCGAAAGCGAGGCGAGTATTTAAAGCATTCGAAGCCCGCTTGAAAACTTCTTCTTTTTTTAAGCGCTCCGAACACCCCCTGCCTGCCCCCCGCCTACTCGCATCTTGCGCCCCCCTAGCATTACTTAAAGATTTTTCTTTTTTAAACATCTATTTAAAAAAAAACATTACTAGCATATCTACTCCTTCGCGTGCCTTAGGCAAGCGCGCCGTAGGCGCTCCGCCCTCGATACCTACTACGCCTGCTTAGCGCCCCCTAAAAGTCTTAGAGGGCTGCACCTATTGCTTTAAGCATATAACGGCTAACGGTACGTGTTCTCGCTACTTGCTACGCGCTTACGCTTCGCAACTAACTCGCTTTAGTAGACCTAACTAAGGTTTATATAGGTAGCAATATAGACCCTACTACTAAGCGCAACTGCGATCGCTGCCGCGGCAGCTATTATACCTACACTCCGCTTACGGCCCGCTTACTAGTGTCGCTGCTAGCGCGCATTCGCGCTGTACGCTCTACGCGCGACTTGCACGACTTAGACGGCTACGACTCTATCGAGGAGTCTAACGAGGCCTTAGAGGCACTCTAGGCCGAGCTAGACTCTGTAGTCGCACGTATATTCCTTATACGCTCCGCTTGCGCTTCGTATGCTAACCTCGACGTTAGTTATCCTATCTGCGCTATACGTCTTTTATACTAACAAGAACAAGGTAACCCTAGGCGGTAAAGCCCTAGCCCGTAAGGGGGCCGCTAGCGGGTCCCTTGCGGACGTTAACCTACTCGGTGCCCTCGAGTACATCGGTACTAACCTAGCTAGTTTAGTAGAGATTAGTCGTTAGGTATGGTTTTTCCTATAGCCTCGTTTTACTTACGCTTCGTATACTAACCGTACTAGAACCTCGCTTAGCGCGTCGGCGCTAAGGCCGTCGCCGCTATCGATACCGCTATAGGCATCGAAGAGGAGGACGAGGAGGAGGATAACGATAAGTAGGGTAGGCGGCCCGCCGTCGCCGCGCCTGCGCGGCGCTATCTGTATATATATTAGGCTAATGGGCCTTTTTTAGTAGCGAAACGAGCACGTATCTACTATTTTTCTTAAGTTTTATTTTCTTTTGTTTTGATTACTACCTACGCTTGCGCTTCGCTTAAGCTTCGAACTCGTCTAACGCTATAGAATCTTTGATATAAACAGCTAGCTCCTAAGTGTTGTATTCTTTAGGCTAACCTCGCTACTTAATAAGGTAGTACGCCTTCCGCTTCTTTATCTTCTTAGCTACGATTGTTTCTACCTACTACTCGTTACCTTTAGCGATAGGTATGCTTATCTTATACTCCTCGCTATCGCGCCTATACTAAGGCTCGAGGAGGGAAATATAGAAAACATTGTGGATCTTCGTGCTTAACGGTAGTGCTAGGCGGTACGCCTACGCTCCGACTACGTCGATAATGCGAAAAGGCCCTATATACTTCGGGCTAAGTTTCTTCTTTAGGACATCTAAGCTAATATTCTTTGTCGATAGTAAGACTAGGTTACCTACACTATATGTCTTAGCAGTATAGTGTGCATTGTATTGCTTAGCCTAGTATTCCGCTACTTTCTGCTAGCGTTCCGCAAGCGTTTTATACGCTTTCCGTAGTCGCTCCGCAGCGTCGATAGCTGCTAGTGCCCTTCCCTTAGTTAGCTCGTCCCGAGCTAGCAACTCATTTACGCTCGGCATTAAATTAGGGTTGAAGCCGTAGAGCATCTTAAAGGGGCTTATACGTAACGTAGGATGAACGCTGTTATTGTAGGCAAACTCCGCCTAAGGCAACAATTTAGCCCAATTATCCTAGTTCTCGGAGCAATAGCATCGTAGGTATTGCTCGAGGGTCTAGTTCGCGCGTTCGGTTTGCCTATTAGTCTAAGGATGGAAGGCTATACTAAGCCTACGCTTTATATGCGCTTCGAAGTAGAAGTCGCTCTAAAACTAGCTAGTAAAAAGCGATCTACGATCGCTAACAATGCCTAATAGTACTCTAAAACGCCTAATTACCTCCCTTTAAAGGATATCCGCGAGTTCTACTACTATACACTTCTTCGTCGTTAGGATAAAGAGGCTTATTTTCGTATAGCGGTCGACTATTACGAGGATCGTAGTATATACGTAGGCACCGAGCTTGCTCGGCGGGAGATCGGTAATAAAGTCTATCGTTAACTCTTACTAAGGTCGGGTCGGTATAGGTAGAGCAGCGAGCTCTCTATAGGGGCGATAGCGCTTCGCCTTCGACCGTTAACAAATTCTATAGGTGCGGATATAGGCCGTAACATCCTCGGCTATCTTCGGCTAGAAGTACTTTCGGCGTATTAGGTCTATAGTCTTAGCTATACTAAAGTATCTAGCTAAAGGGTCGTCGTAGTGTATGCGTATTAGCTACGCACGTAATGCGTGGTCCTTAGGGACATATAGCGCATCGCCGTAGTAAATAAGGTTACTACGATAGGAATAGCTAGGCGGGAGGTTAGAACCACTTAACGAGGCTAAGCTACCCGCCGGTGAGCTTGTTTCGTATAAGCCTCCTCCTCTCGCTTGCTCTAGCTATTGCAAAGTACGTACGAAACTAAGGATTATACTAGGTGTCTCGTAGTAGGGCCCGTTATTCCTAACGATAGTAGCCGCTACTCTTGCGGGACTGCTAATAAAACTCTTGCGTTCCGCTAGCGCTACACTAGCGTCTCGCATCCTAATGCATATAATAGAGATACGTTTTACAATCGGCTCGATATCCTCGGGCAGATTTAACTATAGAGCTAGTTTCGACTGCAATATAGGGAGAAGGTTGTTTACCGCCTGCGACTCGCTCTCGTAGTCGCTACGTCGTAAAGGCGCATCGGCTAGGTTTCGCTTACTAGCCCGATGTTTAATAGTAAAGTTAAAAGGTGCAAGGAAGGTTGCCTATCTTGCCTGCCTTCCGACAAGCTACTTTATCTTTATAAAGCCCTTAAGATTGGCGTAGTCGACAATTACGCGGGTCGTATACTAGGCGCCGTCGAGGTACGGGCGCTAATGCTTAAAGGACTCGACAACCGCTAGGAGCTCCTAGTTATAGGTCTTATAATTGGTCTCGGCTAGGACTATTTTTCGTAACTAGAAGGCAATAGGGTGCTAATTCCTATCTTCGCTCTATTATAATATAATTCCTACTAAGGCAAACGTAGAGGCATCGGTCTCGATACGCAAAGGCTTCGTAGGATTATAGTGTCGCAACATCGAGGCCGAGCTAAAGGCAGCCTTTAGCTAGCGGAACGCTTGCTCCTCGCTTTCGCCCTACGGGACCTGCCCTAGCTTTCGGCTATTTACGGCTCCTTTCGATAGGGCGGTTAGTAGTGTAACGATCCGGGAGTAATTAGGGATAAACCTCCGGTAGAAGTTGCAGAATCCGAGGAAGGATTGAACCTCCTTTAGCGTTAATAGGCGAGGCTACTCGTTAATAGCGTTTACCCTACGCTAATCTATCGATATACCTTCGGTACTAACGATAAACCTAAGGAATTCGACTTCTTTCTTCTAGAAGGAACATTTCTTTCTGTTTGTATATAATATAAACTTTCTAAGTCGCGTAAGGATAGCGCGTACGTCTCGCACGTAGTCCTCTCGCGTTTTACTATAGATAAGAATGTCGTCTAGGTAGACGATATAGCAAATATCAACTAGGCTAGCTAACGCCCTATTAATGTATCCTTAAAACGTAGTAGGAGCATTAGTAAGCCTAAAAGGCATTACCTTATACTCGAAGTGCCCGTACCGCGTATAGAACGCAGTCTTCTACTCGTCGCCTCGCTTAATACAGATGCGGTAATACGTATCCTAAAGGTCTAAGGACGTATACTATTCGGCGTCCTTAAGCCTATTAAGCGTTTCGCTAATAAGAGGCAGGGGGTAACGATTTTTAATAGTAATCTCGTTTAGCCCCCTATAATCGACGTAGAGTCTTAGACTGCTATCCTTCTTTAGTATAAATAGGATCGGCGTATCCGCCTCGCTTATACTAAGCTAGATCTAATCGTTGTCTAAGGCTAAGCTTAGGTAATTACGAAGGTCGCTAAGCTCTCTTCCTAAAGAATAGTAGAGAGGTTTGTATAGCGGCTTCGTTCCGGGGATTAGGTCGATCGTATACTCTACGTCTTCGGGGAGCTTGCGTCTCGCTTCGGGCGTTATTATAAAGACGTCTTCGAAGTCTTTGAATTCTTCTAGTAAGGAGGAACCTTTAGCGATATCGCGGAGCTAGCGAACGCTAATCGCGTATACGTATAGGGCGTTACGCATATCCTTCTAGAATTCCTATAGTTCCCGTACGCGTATCGAACGCGCTACGGCTTCGTTCCTATAGGTCTAGGCATCTATCGAGCTATCGACGATTACCTTTTGATTACGCCTCTAAGGCCTGCTAAGAATAATATTAGGGAGGGGCATTTCGAAAGCGTAGAACACTCCGGTAGTAATACGTTCTTAGCCTATAGAGTCGGCGATCCGTAAGCGTAGATAATGCGCTCCGTAGTAGTATCCT